AGAAATGTATTTTGAAGTCATATTCAATAGTTTTACTGAATTCAAAACTATTTTAACAAGTTTATTGTTGTTGTTGTATCGAAAAAATATTATGTCTATGAAGAAAATATTTCAGGATTAGGTGAAAGAAATATTAGTATTATTTGATATGTGGTAGGTTTAATTAATATCATAATCGAATGTGAAAATTCTATTGTTAATGATTTATGAATTGTCGAACTTCATTTTCAATAGAATTTATAAATACTATTGATTTATTCGACACTAAATTATCTATATATAAATTAAATCGCTTCTAAAATCTTCCCAAATGAAAAGCTAAACAACACAAAAATTATAATCGAAAAAGACTATTGACCACGTCAATGTTTGACCTTAATAAATAATATTCATCTAATATGGTAGTAAGGGATTAGGTAGAAATCGTGCACCAACAAAATCAAGTGGTATCCACGTTCAACGTCTCAACCTTTATTTATTTAAGCTATTCCACTTGCGAAAATCTCACCCTTCATATTGGAATTGGACTGTAGCATATTAGCCAACTTACTTAGTGCATATTTGGTTGATAATTAAATTATAATTTAAGTGATCATAAGTCATGTGTTTTATAGAATATATGAATAGTAAGTAGATAGTAGTTGTGAATTATACGAAATGAGTGTATAAAATGTTTGACCAATAATCAAATATGTGCTAAGGGACAAATTTTATAGCGAATGATGATGAGAATAATAATATACATTTGATTTGCTGTTTTAATTTTTAGTTTTGCAAAATATTCAATACTTTTTGATATAGTATTTTTTGTAAATGTATTTTCGAAAACAATGTTAAATTTATAAATAAAATTCAAAAAGCATTTTTGACGTTAAAAATACTCAAAACATGAAAATAAGCGTTTTAATAAAGTTTATTTAAATAAAACTCCAAAAAAAAAAAATCACTAAAAAATCTGAAAAAATAAAAATTCTAAACAAAATATTATAAGATTCTAAAATTA